GCATATTCGTTTGAGTACCAGGCTTCTAGGAATTCCCTGACTGCACTTTTGGTGTTTCCTCTGTCTAAGATTTCGACATTATCCCAATCATCAAACTGATGTCAATAATTGTCTATCTGGATTGATATGAAGGAATATATATCGTGTCTTTTCACGGCTGATTTATGTTCTTGGATTCTAATTCGAAGGGGATGCTCACTTTGACCGATGTAATGCCTGTTATGGTTCATACAATTTATTTTGTAGATGGTGTTAATTTTATCCCCTTTTCCTTCCTGTTGGATCTTTTGGTTTGCACAATATCAAATGAAGTGATTCGACTGGCTGGCTTGTGTGCTATATCTATATCAAACGGTTTCAATATTATGGCTGTTATTTCAGAGATATATTTTATGTATGGCACGATGAATTTCCTTGTGTTCTCTGATGATGGTTCCTTGTTGGTGTTGAGATTCGATTTCAAACACTTTTTGATGAAATTCTTTTTGAAGACCGTTTGTAAGTATTTTTCTTCTATTCTTTTCAACTCTGGAGTGCTACAGTGTGTTTAAACTCTCTTAAACAATGTCTGCACACAGTTTCTTTTGTGGGTAATTGGATTATTGCTAGTATAGTTGAGTGTTTGATCTGTGTGCGTTGATTTTCTGTATACTTGTTTTTCTAAATTTCCTGTGTTAGTTCTCCTGATTGAGACATCTAAAAATGGGATTTTGTTATCTAATTCTTCTTCTCTTGTGGTGAATTTTATTTCTTCGAATATGTTGTTCATTAATTTATGGGTATATTTCAAGACATTTCTCCTAATTATTACAAATGCATCATCAACGTAACGTACGCAGATTTTCGGTTTAATTATAGGTAGACCTATTAATTTTAATCTTTGCATGACGGCTTCAGCTTTTAATCCTGATATGGGCGATCCCATTGGTGTTCCTTTTATCTGTTCAGCTCAGAAAACACTATTAATTGCAAATTATCCACCTGAGCTACAAATCTTTATTGTTTGAAAAGTTTTACTGTATTTTATAGTTGTTACATTTCTAAATGATTCCTATTATTAGCCCTTTGGGTTTCGAGTGGAACGTAGGACATCAACAGCGGATATGCATTCCGCGGTGTTCCCTGCAGCCCTGCAGCTCTACGACTGATCAAAAGCTTCAATTCCCTCTTCGCATGATCTCTTCCACGTTGCCCTCGAACTTATTCCCAACATTTCTAAAGTACAGATTTAATATTTTATTTCAGTGAGGCGTGTTTCTCATCGGATTTCCTGTCATCACTCTGGGTTGCTGATTAAGTAAAGGACAAACAAAATCTATTCACATCGCTATTGTATCTTATCTTGTGGATACAGAACACACGATTGATATCAACGAGGTGGCTTTCAAAGTTATTTACTGCATACCAACAAATCTTAACTTTGCCTTCAGAATTCGTTTACTAAATAGTGCTAGGACTGGCTGGTGAGATCCACAATAAGAAGCCTAGTTTATGTGTACAAAAGAAGCTAGTTCAGACATTGTCCTTACTTCACTGGCCATCTAGGTTCTAATGATCCTCAGTGGTCTGCGGAAACCCCTTTAATTTTAGTTAGTATTCTAACTGTCATTACATTTTTATGCTTATTATTATAATTTATGCATGTGCGTCGGTGGTGCAGTGGTTAGGACTCCCGCCGACCATGCACATGGTTCGAGGTTTGATTCCCTGCCGACGCACACCTGATATCTATGGTTGGCCTGCGAAATTTGGGCTACTGATATCACATGCTGAAAATTCCATACTTGTACCAAAAACACAAGCTGTAATCAAAAAAATAAATAAATAAAAATAAAAAGTTTAATTAAACTGTAGCTCCACTGATCTTAACAAATCAATGTTATTTAAAAAATATATGTGTATATAACCACATATAAGTATAACTGTAAATCCAGAAGAGGAAATTATCGAAAAGGATATTCTTTCCTTAATTATTTTGTTTTTTTAAAATAAATAGTCTTTCTAAGTAGAGAGAAAGGTGCATTCTGACAAGTGTAAAGTTCTATACTTTGGTTTGTAAGGGTTAGTTTTGTCTTCATGGGTTGATCACGGATTCATATCAGTTAGAGAACCATTTAAAACCAGCCACCGGGAGTACTGGAGAGCTATTTCCTCTATCCTAGTTTGGGAGTCATCGGAAGTACGCACCAATCACAGGGCGTTTGAACCCAAGACCTTCCGGTTACAAGGCAAGCTCGTATACCATTCAGCCACTAGGACCCGATTCAATGGACAATGAATGAATTCTAACTTCTACCAATTCGTGATTTACCGCGGCCGCAACCATTTTCGTAGGCGGGACATTCATCCTCACACGTGACATCTAACTGGACCTCAGTGGTCACGACTTCTCACTAGAACTCCAGGAAACTCTATCCTGTTAGAATTTATGGGCCATTAAATCGGGTCCCAGTGGCTGAGTGGTATACAAGCTTACCTTGTAACCGGAAATTCTTTGGTTCTAACCCCCTGTGATTGATGCGTACTTCCGATGATTCCCAAACTAGGATGAAACAACTGTCTGGTACTCCCGGTGGCTGGTTTTCAATGGTTCTCTAACTGATATCAATCCGTGATCAACTCGTAAAATTAAGTGTAAAGTAATAATTCTCACTCTCCTTAAGGTTATCAACACTGCTCGACTACAATCGGCACTGTGTACTGAATATAGTATCATCGTAGATTAAATAAAGAAGTATTTCATAAAATTTTAAGATAATTATAACCCTCTATACTACTGACTGACTCAGATAAGTAGTTATACACCACTCACGTCAATCAGTAGTGCTTGAAGTGATCAGATTGAAGTGATGGCTGTGCTCAGTCGTTTAAAGCCAAGCTCATCAGTAGTGTATCCAGTTTCACCCACCACAGTGAGTTAAATCAGCTCAAAGCACTCTGTTTCTGACGGATTACAGTTCCAGTGGTGACATTTCATTGCAGTTTTTTTTTGAAAACCATGATTATTCAGATCACAATGTGTGATCTCAAACTGTGTAAGTAAAAAATTGCGTATCTGATTTCATAATTAATTATTGTTCTTGTTTTGTTAAAGAGTATTTCCCCTTGGAATCATCATACAGACTTTAGTCAGTATAACTAGAATCGTTAGTTTGTACTTTTCAGTAGGTCGTCTCATTATTGGAAGAATTGTCTGACTATCAATATGACTGACTAGGACTTAATGCGGTAGACTGGATAATTCAACAGACAGACAGAGGGAATGCAACGAGGAGACAGGCAAAAAATGGACAAACACAAAAAACTTGGAGGATCTGGATTTTGCCCACGATGATATACTTCTGATTTCCCACAAACAGGATGTTATGCAAATGAAAAGCAACAAGTTGGCGGAAGAAGCATCCGGAGAAAATAGGACTTCAGGTGAACATAGAGAAAACAGAGGTGATGGAGACTCCTGAACAACAGGAACACCAACAGCTGCAACAATAATCAACAATCAGTCAGCAAAAATGCGGAAAATCTGAAAGAATCAAACCCCTCAACCTACCTACCTACCTGAGAAGCATCGTTTCAACTACAGGCAGATGGAACTGATGAGGATATCAAAGCGGCGAGGATCGGGAAAGTAAAGCAAGCTTTCATTTCTCTCAAGTCTGTGTGGAGATCAATAGCACTCAGTATGAAAAAATAAGGTGTAGATTTTCAACTCCGATGTGAAGTTATTGCTACTTACTAAACGAATCAGAGATTTGGCACGTCATAAAGAGCTCTTCAAACGAACTAAAGCCCTTCATCAGCACTACTCAAGGTTAGATGGTCGGCCAGGAAATATCAGAAACATCGAGGTATCTCTGGCAATGAGCGAACCAACCCATCAGGAACCGATTGTGCAGCAAATCTTCAGGAAAAATTGGAGGAGGTGGATTTGCTGGCCATACTCTGAGAAAACCGTTAACGGACGTCACACGCCAGGCCAATCCCCAGAATGGAACCCGACTGGGAAACGGCGAGCTGGTCGTCAGTGTGAGGGTGGGGTGACATGGAGGAGGTGATGTGAAGAGGAGATGGAAGCATGTGGTCAGACGTGGAGCCAGGTTAAAAAGTCGGTGGAGAACCGAACGCAACAGAGACGTGAGACTGAAGCCCTATGTTCCTCTAAGAACTAAAAGAAACAATAATATAATAATAGTAAATTCTTATGTTTGTTTCATAGGTGACTCACTATATTCAGTACATAGTGCTAAAGGATATCATTTGCTGTTTCACAATAGTTTACTGCTGTGATCTGTGAGCCATTTTCAAATACTTCGTGAACTGAGGCTTTTTCCGTAATTTTTGACAAATGTACGCCTTACTACTAGTGAATATCAAAGAGGAGAATCAAAGGCTGTCGAACAAGCACCGATTGTTAATATATGTGCCATGTCTATTCCCATTGTCTAAAAGGTGAGTAATCCTCGTCTCTCTTTTTTGTATTTTGTAAAACAAACAAGTACAACATTTTACCTTAAGAAAAATTACCGAAGTACAAGATACACTTTGTATTGATCACCAAATAAGTGAACTGCAATCAATAATGCAAAACCCATTTTATCTATCACATATGCATCTAGTTTAACGAATTGAACAATATTTATGCCAATATATAACACATGTCCTTTTGAAACCTCATTACATGGTTTCAGTCGTTCTTCTATAGAGTTGAAAACAGCATTGATCGTAGACTACCATTTACCACTGGGGGCGGGGGGTGGCCGGGGAAATTGACTAGAAATTCAACAGACGAATTACACACACACATGTTTTCATTTTTAATTTTTATGTTTTGTGCTTAAAATATTTCTATTGGTTAAGAGTGATATTGTTGTATGGGAAAAGATTTTGATTCCCGAAACAGGTGACCAATCAAAATAATTGTGCTAGCCTAATTCGATTTTTACACGTGTGAAGGGTAGAAAGCACACAACTGTTGTCTGCATATACACTTCTAATTACAAATTAATAATAATAACATGTAGCGCACTTTTCCTAAGTAGAAATCAATATTTTGGATAGAAAAATTGTGTCTACTGGTTAGTATATGGGGTCGGAAGAGTTAACTGACTAGCCAATAAGAAGAAAGTTAGTTTATAAAATTTAGAGAAAAATATGAAAGAATGAAAATTGTTCATTTGGAGGGTGGTGATGGTGTTCTGTCAACAACACTTGTACACCACCAATAATGCGTTTACATGTATATATAGTATTGTGTGTGCAATTCTGAAATAAATTTCCAATTGTTACAACTGTGCAAACTTGTCAAGTATAATTTCAATCTTCGATTAAACAACACAACGTAACACAAGGCACTAGCAACAATTGTTGTTCTCGTTCAAAACTAAATTCACCAAAAAGATAAGAAGAAGAAGAGGACCTACAGAGAGAGAGTGGCAGATAAAAGAAAGAAGAAAAAAGTAGTTACCACAACAGCTGCTGTGTAGCCCTGAACAATCGGTACCAAAGTCAAAGCAACTGTTCAACAAACATAATCAGTGGATATACAATTTTTGTACAAGAAAAAAAATACCCACGTGTACAAACATAATCTACGAAGTCAACTGTTCCGTAACAACAGAACAGAAAAAAAAGAGTTAATTGAACTCTTAAACATCATCATCATCAATAATAACTTATCGTGTGTGTGTCAATTGTGTGTGTGCACTTGTCAAATTGTGTCCATCAGATCTATCCTAAGATCCATTTAAAACACTACAAGGTCATCTATTATTGAGAAGATCAACAACTGTTCAACAAGAAAGAAAGAAAGGCAAGACAAGAAAGGCTTGTCCAAGAAAGAATACAGGTTTCTTTTTTTCTTTGTTGTTGAACCGGTGAATTATCCAGCAGAGATTGAATTATTCTGCCTTACTTCCTTCCGACAGTATACGCCACGCTGATACAATTTCAATCGTGTTTAGTAAAGCAAAAGAAAAGAAATTTGATTAGCAACTGACTCGAAGTTGACCAACTGTTGTCATCCAAACGAGAAGGAAAGAAAGAAAGAAAAAAGTAATCGAAGAAGAAAATACCATTTGCCTGTGTAACGTGTAATACAAAAAAGGTCATAGATTATACTGGACTATCTATATTCATTTTCTTGTAACAATTGACAAAGAAGACAATTGTTCAACCCTAGGGGATTATTATTATTCAAACTGATCTCTACGCTATACAGTCGAACTGGCATCTGACAAGGCGAACTAATAACACATTGAACAGTTGTTCCTCAATATTCGAAAAGTCACATGAATTCAACTATGATTGGAGAATATGAACAATTGCATCATACGTTCACACACTATAATAATAACACTACTACTACTAATAATAATACTGGTAATAATAATGGTAGTAATGCATCAAATGAGACATCTTCAGAATCCTGTCAATTGCTGAACTATCCTACACAGTTGATCAATACGACAACAACAACAGCAGGAGCAGCGGCTGCGGCGATAGCAGCGACAACAACATCAAAACAACATTTTACACATTTCACCTTACCAGCTAATCATCAAATCCCACTGATAAATGATTCTTATTTCAGCGGAGAAAATCACTCTGAATATGTGAATGCATTAGATAGTCATAGTAATCATTACAAAGTCCTGTCTTCACCATATTGTCACTTGTCGAATCAATACGCCTCAGATTTGGAGTATGCCATAGGTCAACACCACTATCCAGTTGTCACACTGAACAATAACAGTGTTAATAATTCATTTCGATGCGGCAATTCATTTATTCCTTTAATCAATTCATCGCATTACTTGTCTTCATCAATAACTTCACCACCGTCATCATCCTCATCACTAACAAAAACACCAGTGACTACTACTACATCACCACAAACAATGACAGCGGCAGACACGCATCAATTCCTTACAAATGATGATAATGATGATCAGATAGGACTGCCTATAAGCTCACAATTCATTCCAACATCTGATGACTACAATACTTTACTGCCAAATGATTCTGAATTGTTAAAATCATCTGTATTACGTCATTTAGATCAATATTCCCAGTTTGTTAATCAATCCCCGTTTCAAACACTTGTGCATCATTTAGTTGCAAATAACAATAACAGTACTACCACTAAGGATAATTCTTCATCGAATATAGATGTTCCAACTGATTTTCATAATAATAATAATAATAATCATGATTTCTCAAATTCTACATATCTACATGATCAGTGTGTTGTAGAGAGAGAATTTGAAAAGGTTACCACCGGGAATACCGATAGTTATCTACACCAACGTAAACATCAACTACAAGGGCAACAGTCTGTACCTTCCATGGAGTATAATGCATATTTACGAAATCCTCAAGAGACTATAGCATATGATCCATTGAAATCTGCCTATCCTGAAGACTATGCACCAATTGATCGAATCAATTATAGAATTGATAATAATAATAACAAGATAATGTCAGCAATTCCACCAGCACCAGCAACAACAACAGCGACAACTACTGAATTCATTGCAGCAGCTAATTGGACACCAGAGAAGACAACTATCTACTCTCCCACTCAACAACACCAGCAAAATCACCATCGATCAGATAAGTACTTAACGTCAGTAAATCATTTCACTTCTACACCATTATCTGAGGCTAATTTTTGTCATCGTGATATGAATTATAATACATCGAATTTATTGCATAGCACAACGCCTTATCGTTTATTGGATTCAGAAGTCAAGCATAATCTATCACGTATCCCTAAATCGTATGATGCCAATGATCTTGTCTATTGTTTACCAATTTCTACAGTCACATCATCAAATACCACTACTGCTGCCTGTGGTGTTGGTGGTGGCGCTGGTGAAAATTCGCTTAACCTTTATAATTATGCACAAGTTAGTTTTGATGGGCCTTCTTCAACATCATCCGCAGCATCTAGATCGTCTGGCTCCTTAGGAAATGTTTCTTCAAACCAGTCGGAGAGTAATAATTCTGGAAAGGCTATTTCCCATCGTATTTTAGATGAATTTCAAGCTCATACCAGTAGTACTGGTAATAATCAATTCATTTCTCAAAAGTCTGATATCATTATGAGTACGCCGACATCTTATATGGCTAATAGTAACAGTAATAATGGTTTCCCTAAAGCACCATCTTCCCTTCACAACACGTCTAATATGTCAACAGAAAAGTCTGAAAAATATACAAATCCCAATTCAAATAAGTCGTCTACGGAAGCAGAGAATGTGACAGGTGATAAAATCCCTGAACAAGTCGGACATGATAGACAAAAACCGCCAGTATCGTTGTCAACCAGTCTGAATACGCCTGTGTCATTAAAGCGTACCAAATCAATAATGCAATCAGATTCAACAACATCAAAACTTTTACGACCTAGTGTACATCAACAACCATTGTCACCAAACTCTTCATCGCCATCACTATTACGTAAACGTGGTCGTCATTCCCATATGAAACAACCAATGATGAATTTAGAAAAACACCATCTAGGAGATGGAAATCTCAGTGGTATACAAACCAATCAGTCATCAATGAAGACACTGCCGATGAAGACGAATTCATGTGATGAGTCTGACAGTACAAGTGACGATTCTGATTCAGATGATGAAACTGAAGAAACTAAGGTGAGTATCCTTCATACTTTATTATGTCCGATTTTGGTGAATATTTCTTATCTGTTTTCTCTTGAACATGCGTTTTTCTCCGGATTTGTTGTTGTGGAAAATTGACTGAAAGTGATATAATGCAATAGCCAAAGAAAAGATGAAAATTTTATCCCTTATGACTAAACTACTTGAAGTCACTAACTGACAATGAGCACAGATGCATTTGATGATTCCTCATGAAATGTTATAGGTAAATTCATGTCACTGATTCCACAGTAACTCCTCTAACTACTCTAGTACTAGTTCGGAAACTTCAAAGTTTCCACTTCTCTTATCGTTACTGCAAAACTGTACCTACTCGATTGGATTATTCTAGGCATAAATTGTTGATGAATATCGAACTCATTTTACCCAAACCGCATGTTGTGTTCCTCCCTGGATCATAAGACGATAATGACTAAAAAACAAAAAAAAACTTGATTCATCCATCACCAGTTTTACCATCAATAATTTTCCCTAAGAAGGCGATGAGAATGTGTCAATCAGTTAAATCCACTATGTGCGAATTCCGTCCTATTCCAGACTCATCAGCTAGTAGAAGTGAATCATCAATGGTGGCTTCCACGCTGAAGCTCACACCGAGTATCTACCTTTTCAAACACTAAATCATTATCCACTAGACTACTTGGACCACGAGAGTCACCACCTAGAATGCAACACGGGTGTCAATTATGACTCTTGTTTATAAAAAAAATTCAATTTTTGATTTCCCCTCTAACTGAGTGCACTGAAATTTTCGGCCTCTGCCTACATGTCAGTCCCTTAAGAGGACACTTTAACAGTATCAGAGGAATTTGGTGGTTGGTGACTGGAATCTATGTGGAATCTATGATGCACATTTCGTCCTATTTTTGGATTCATCCACTGGATGTGCCTCTTTTTATTTCTCGAAGAAAAGCTGATACATTTTTTGTTTACCATCTATTAAAATTTTGAATAGTTAAGTTTCATGTAAACTTTTTACGTGTACGTGTACAAATTTCTAGCGTAGACTTTCATTTTCTTTGTGTTTTTTGAAAGATATTAGAAGCATAGATAGGCATTAAATAAGCTGAATACTACCCTGCTGTGTTACAAATTAATTAGGACATGTTCATCTATCTATTCAGCACAATAAATTTATCTCTAAAATCTTTTCTTATTCTAAGTATTGTTTAATTCTGAAATCTGGAAAGCCTACACTCTCTCTAACTCTGGCTGTCCTCCTTCCCTCCCTCCCTCCATCCATCCATCCATCACAGCATCATCATTCTACATAAGATCCCAGTTAATCAAAGTTTCAGAATAGATCAGGTCAGTAAGTATGATTATTCACTAATGCATAAATGATGCAAGCATTGAAGCATAATCATAAAGAGAGAGAATAAACGAATACAATAAATGCATGTATTATCTAGTTATCAGGATGTTATAAAGCAGAATAAATTAGCTTCACATTCTATTTCATCTGTTACATTTATGCATGACTTAATATTTTCTTTTTAATGATAAGTGACGTTTTAAGCGCAATGTATATGAATGAATAGTGAAAATAGGAATACATAATCTGATAGAAAAATAACCTGTCAGTTATCTTTGTCTCACGATTACGTAATCACTGCGATCTACAGCTTATCAGTGGGCCTAAATTCAAGATTTATACTTTGTCGAATTACCCTTCTGATTAAGTTGTTGCTTAAATTAATGATCAGCATGTACAGGACTGTTGACTATGCACAGAATAGGGATTCATAAATCTTTCAATTCCAGAGGTTTAGTTCAACTTCAAAGACAATAGTTGATCACCGTCAAAATTTTCCTGGGTCAGGATGCACTGTGAGTGGGAATGGGATCCAAGCTGAGAAATAAGTTACCTTGAGAGGCATATGCAAACACACACTGTACACTAGCGCTAATCAAGGTGAAACCTTATCATATCGATTTTGTTAATGTGATATCGTGACTAAAGCGTTATGACTAAGGAGTAATCTGGACATTGCTTAGTAAAACTCTCACTATTTTGTACCGCTTTCAAAGGATCCTGCAAATTTGAAAGAGTGACTAATCAACAAGGAATATTTCTTTCGATTGCGCCTTCTTCATTACGTCTCACTTCTACCTACCCGAAAGATGGAGTTTCCTGGAGTTCTAGTGAGAAGTCGTGACCACTAAGGGCCATCCAAGATGGATATCCCACAGACGACATTGGGTGGTGCCAGTGGCGCTAAATCACGAATTGGTAGAAGTTAGAATTCAACGGGTTGGCTGACCATTGAGGAGTCGAGTCCTCATGGCGGCTGAATGGTATAGTAGTTAGATTGCCTTGTAACCGGAAGGTCCGGGTCTCGAACCCTTCTGTGGTGGGTGCTTACTTCCGATGATTCCCAAACTAGGCTGTTGAAACAGCTGTCCAGTCGTTCGATTCTGGTTTTCAATGTGTCTCTAACTGATATCAATCCGTGATCAACTCGTAAAAACAAATGGAGGGGAGTAACACAGAGACTTTATGCATTCATAGGCTCGACAACAGGCCAGACCAGGATAACAATAGCGGCTGTCAAGACCTGCTTCTTTTGCATGCATACCTCCAATTGTCTTATGTGAATTGCAATGACCTCTACTGTTTAGAGTGTTCGATGCCTAGAAGCCTTTGTTAATTTATTCAATACTCGCTAGATGATAGAGAAAGATTTTTCGATGTGACCTGTTTGAACGAGGTGATGAAATATAGAACTGTTGGGGGTTTCAACAACACCTTTATTTAACCACAATAGTAGGTGTTCCTGGACGACCACGAGACAACTGGACTCCTAGAGCAATGGCTAATATGACTTCCTCCACAGGAGGAGTTAGATACAATTACAGGTGGCCAACTACCGTAGGTACTTCATCTTTCAGTTTTTTTTCAGAATTACAGCCGGCTGTAAAGAAACTGTAAGCTACAGCTTACCGGGATTCAGAGCTTTCTGAATCGATTTCACTTGTAATATCCCCTCTTGTTAGGAGATACAGAAAGATTCTTTTCTACTTTATTGGCCCATGTGTTTAGTATTCACGGTAACTAACATTTAGTTTTCAATAAAACCTTTCGTATACACAAGACTCAAATTACTAGGCTGGAATTTCCATTCATGTAGATATATATGCATTATTCCGAACAGTTGTTCATTTTACCTCACTGTCTTTCAGTTTAGTATCCTTTAATTTACTTTTTAATACTTTATCATTACTTTTTATTATTATTATTATCATTATTATTATTACTTCTCATTCATTCTAGTTTCTCTTTATTAAAATGTCTCTTGGAGACTCCAGTTTCTCGTTTTTTTTCTCTTTCTCTGTGTCTCTCTTGAAGTTAGTATACATATTTATACAAGAAGATAAGTAGTCTGTAATGTGTAAATGTTTCTATCTTCTCCCTGAATTCCATTCAATGCGAATATCGTATTTTTATTTTTACTAAACGAAAAGCTACAATTCCTGTCTGTATTCTCATCGTGTGTCTCCATCGTACTGGTCACAGTTAATTGAAAATAGGTGATAATGCCCATATATATATCCATGCCGTAACAGCTGACGCTAAAACGTCATCGCTATGCGTTTAGCAATAGATCTACAAATATATCCATATCCATAAGTAATAGAAGGAGAAGTATTATAATAGGTGGACATTGTGTTTCCTTTCTATCATAGAGACACCCACACAATTGTAGATCTATTCGTCCACTTTGTATCGTCAATAATCGTCGTTACTCTCCACCCTCTTGATTGTAAGTCTATCTACCTACCTACTTACCTACCTACCCACCTACCTAACTACCTACTTACTTACTTACTTCCTTAATCTATCGCTATCCTTTTATTTCCTCAACTTATCATATCCCTGTGTTTTGCTGTGTATGTTATTAGGCTTTAGTCTTTCATAGTAACTATGATGTTTAACAAATGTGACAATAGAACCAAACAGTGAAAAGTTTATTAACAGTTACAACAATAAATACATTCATCGTCGCCCCCCCTCCCCCGTCCCGCGCACCCCTTCTTCTCCTTCGCGTTTTTATCTCTCTTAATTCTTCTACATCCTTCCTAAGAGAGGGACAGAAGACAGGGAGTATGGTCCGTTCATGATACACACACTCTGTCTCGCTCTGTCTTCTACAAGAATATTGTATTGCATGCGTAAGCACATATATGCCAATATACATATATTGTACATACGCAAGCGCACACACACACACACAAACCAAAGGCTTAGGTTACCATGCCTACCATAGATAATTGTTAGAGCGCCTGTTGTTTTTTGCATTTTTCTCCCTCTTCTTCTTCTACTTCAGTTACATACTTTCAAAAAATTCAAAAAAAAAAGAAAAGTAAGAGAAGAGTTAATAGTTTATTACTGACATAGTAATAGTAATAATACTAATTTCTCTCATTTTATCAAAAACACTCGCATCAATAACACTACACTTGAAGTAGTCAATTGTTGACGATTGTTATAACGTATGAGGATGATGATGACAATTACGATGAATAACGCTTGGAGGAATTCATCAAAATAACTTGTCATTCACAGCAACAACAACAACACTCCAATCATCCTGAAAATATGTAATCATATAAAAATCAGTCAAATATTAGCCAATTTCTCCGCATTTTATTGTGTCGGGTGTTTATTATTCTTTCGTCCCTTTTCTTTCCTCTTCATAGGAAGAGCATGTTATTGCACCAGGTTCACATGGCCAATGTTTACTATGGGCGTGTAAAGCATGCAAAAAGAAAACAATGCAAGTGGATCGTAGAAAAGCGGCTACAATGCGTGAAAGACGACGGTTACGTAAAGTGAATGAAGCCTTTGAAACACTGAAACGTAGAACATGCGCTAATCCAAATCAACGTATGCCAAAAGTAGAAATATTAAGAAATGCAATAGATTATATTGAAAATTTAGAAGATATGCTACAACAAAATGGTGTTATCCCAATGGGTATGACACCGTTGACAACAGCATTGAATGCAATCACTACTTCACAAAATGATACTAACAATGCATGCAATTCATCGATAACTACTACAGGAAACAATGTAAATGTTTACTATTCCAGTGCATCTACAAAATCGAAATCTACAATCAGTAATAAATATATTAAAGAGGGGAGTGATCTACCCTGCTCAATTACAAATCAATCACATGCACCTAATAGTTGTGCCTTGTCTTACTCTTGTTCTCAAGATAATTCTAAATTATCAAATTTAAGGTGTGATTTCAATTCAGAAAATGGTAATAAACATGATTCTACAGATTCTCTAACAGATATATCCCTTGGCAGTTTACCAACAGAATGTAGACCCGATGAACAAATGAATTCAATGACCAGTTCTACATGTTCACTAATACCGACTTCCAAGGTGAGTGTCTTTGTGACGAATACGCTTTATTGATTTCATATCTATCACCATATTGCTATTATTATTATTATTATTATTATTGTTCCCTTGGGTTCCTGGTGGAACACAGGGTTTCAAAACAACACCTCTACTGAGTCGTGACCTTTGTGGTCCTCTTCATTTGACCTCATATAAGCCCATAATCTCTCATCTCCTTCATATCACCCTGTCAATCTATGTACAACTCGTCGTTTCGCGTTTGGGTTCCACCTCCATCTTCTTTGGTATATTCTCTGAGCAATAGGTTCTTGATGCGGGTTTGAATCTCACGAGGGACACGAGTTCCTCAAAGACTGCAGATACACCTTGCAGACTAGTGACTGCTAGTATGGCCCAACGCTTTCTGCCAATTACCTCCAACCATATAGTAAGAACATTTACCTCTAAGTTTTAGTTGATAATTTTAGCATTTAAATAGGGGAAACAGTTAACTTCCTAGCTAACAGTAATATTGTACATCATTCACTTTTGAGTAACCTTTGGTAATAATCCCTATTCTATAAAATCACGTGATTTTGAAATAATAATGATAATTTAACTTTTCCTCTTTTTGGCCTCATTAAGTATTACAACTCTTTAAGTGGATATAATACAAACAGGATAATATCTGTCGTTTTAACTTGGGAAATATTTATTGATTATTCTTAGGTCATTCCATGCTGTCATCGATTAACTAAGTAATTTAAATTTTCTTTAGTCACAGGCATAATAATAATAAGAATAATAAACATATATCTCTAACACTCATGAAATGTACTTTTAGGTAAGCAGAAATGACAGTAAACTTAATTTTGCTTTCCCTGTAACTTTGATGAGTTAATCCTCTTTTGTGTTTGGGGATTTTTGTATAGTGTCTTAATGAATACTGTTTACAAATCCCTAACAGAATATATTTATTTACCTTCAAAAAGTTGACAATACCACTTCAGCATGTACAAATAATAAATATCACTTATTTTGTTTGTCTCATATATTTTTGTTATCTAAAATTTTTTGGCATTTTTCACAGCGTACTTACAGCTTCTTGTTTGTGTGTGTGTTTGCTTGTATGGCATAGTTTACATCTCTAACAAGTAATGATAAATGATGTACTTTTTTGTTTTAATGAAGTAAAAGATGTTTCGTTTTCGCGCGCGCGCACATTTCAAAATAAAAACACTCGGTCATTTTGTCAACAGACAAGATAACAAGCAAAAATATTATCATTATTATTATTATTATTCGATGTGATGAAAAGAAAAGAAATGGAATGAAATAACATTAAGATTAAAGATAAAAAATGTGCAGTATTTATTTTCTCTACAGAAGAAACTACCACTACTTCTACTAGTAGTAGTAATAACGACATTATGTACTAACATGAAAGACGAAAACAAGTAAATCATTATTTGACTGTATGGAAATTAACTTTTGGTCTTTGATTTCTTGGCTGTTATTGTTGTTTTTGTTGTTGGTGTTTTTACTGTTGGTTTTTCCGTCTCGTTTAACGACTGAAATACACAATTGTGAATAAAGATAAAAATCCACAGAAAGACAAGAAGAAAAACAAAAATAAAGTTGTAAATTGTCGGTTATTCTTTATTATTTGTTGTTTAATTTTCTGGTTAATTTGTTATCACAATGTTAAAGATATGTAGAAAAATATTGTAGAAGAAAAGATGGAAAGATCTATTCTCTTAGATATCTTGTGAATAGTTGTAGTAGTTGATTTTTGTCTATCCGCCTATCTATTTGATTTACATACACCGTGTATCATCCATTGTCAAGTGGACAAATAAGACTATTCGAAGTAAGATGATACGATATAATTATATATCAACTTGATAAACTACCTGACTGCCAAGTGTACATTATTCATTCATTGTGAGTGAAAGACGAAAATGTATGCGAAGAAACACAGAATGTGTATGTGTGTGTGAGAGAGAGAGGGATATAATAGACAAGCCTGTGAACCTGTGTTTGTGTGCGTGTTAGCCCATTATTCTAGAAGACAATAAAAGCGGATAAATTAGTTCTCCTATGGATAAATGATGATCCACGTGGAGAAGTTGCAGGTGGCCTACATATATATATATATATATATATATATATATATGTATATACATGTACATATTATCTATAGATATGGTTTTAGATGCTACAAGTAGATTTAATTAAAAAAAAGGGGGCAATAAATAACGATATAAGTGGTAGTGGTAGTAATAATAATAATAAGTGATCCATATATATTCTGGTTTTTCAATCTTAAAACTAAATTTTATATTGATATATGCAAAGTAAAGAGAGAGAGAGAGAGAGGTGGAAAACAGATCTTATCAAGATAACTGAATTGATGGAAGGCTACTGCGCATATAAATCACATCTAACTTGTAAGTTATACGCCGACCACAACGATGATGATGATGATAAAGGCTGTTTTCTGGAGTCTGTGATATTCATCAAAATGAACATCCTGTCCTGATATATATGCAGATATAGATATAGTATGCTTGTGGTTTCAAGGATCTGGTCAATTAATTCATTTTACTGTTGTGTAAACATGATACACCTAACCATAGCAAGTCTATTTTTTTGTTTCTTTCTCTTGCCTCTAGTTGGTTTTGGATCTTTGAAATCAATATTAAGTTATATAAATTCTAATTTGATAAATACTAAAACAGGTGCTCTTCAATTTTTACACATCTATAAGATAGAATTTAGTATATTTAGATAATGAAATCTGATACAGTCATTAGCAGTAATAATTCAGTGTGCTTTTATCCTGGGAAACTTTACCGTTTTGAAAATTGTTTCATTGATACGTCTGTCAAAAAATGACAGAGATATCAAACCGTTTTAATGTAAAACCCATAAGTTAGTTAGAATTACACTAGTGGATAAAATAGATATTTATATATATTCCCACAGTCTACATTACTTATTGAGGCTGGTGATCCTCAAGGCGTTATCCTTTCTCATTTTTCTGTTTTGTTTCTTCTCGTGAATGACTTGCCTCACTCTGATGATGAAATCAACTATTCCAATGTATGTTAACTCCCAGCTAGACTGTACTAAGATGAACAGCTTTCTATCAGGAATTAGCAAATGGTCTTCATCTAACGGCCTTAAACTAAATCCTTCCAAATATCAGACTGTTAATTTCAGTTTCCGATGTAACAGCAAGTTAATTCAAGCTGTTAATTCCTATGACCGTTGCGAAATTGACGATAGTGATGATATAGACATCAAGTCTGACGTTAAGTATCTTGGATTCATTCTTTCTACTGATCTATCCTGGTCTTCCCATGTATTAGTGATTTCATACATTTATTCCCCTTAATGAATTTGAACAAAGCAAGAACTACAGTTTTAGCAAAATAAAATGGTACCATCTTTTATATTAGTGATTTCTAAAAGAATATTTCGTCTGACTTTTTACATTAGGAAGTTAAGACACTCAGGTATATTTCAACCCTCCTCTTACAGTTTGTCAACTCGTGCATCTTACCTATTCTTCGCTAAAGTTCACCCCTATTCTTTCCTGGATTGCTTAAAAAAGACTATGTCATACTTCGTAGAACTCTGAAGGCTGTCAGTAGGACCAGTGTTATCCCATTGGGCCATATCGTTGATATCGTCATTGATGATAGGCACTTGATGTCATGTAACAAATTTGCTAAAGGCATTTTGTCAGAGTGTGAGTATCCACTCTATCCGCAGCTTCAACCTTGTGTCTCCCCTTCAGGTAAAACAAGAAGTCTTTTCAGAAGACTTTATGCACGTACATCTAAGTATAAAAATTCCATGATACCATATTTGATGGCACGTACTTTATGTGATGAAAATAGTGTTAGGCATGATCTAACTAACCTTCTTTGCACTACTAAATAAACCATTTCCTCCACCCTTATAACATCAAACTTTATTGTTATTGTATTTCTTATATTTATTTATTTATATATTTTTCCTTTCCCCATCACCATACTATATCAACAGAACATTAAATTCAATAATCTATAAAATGCTAAAATTTCCAAACTGAATCGACAAACAATGCTGTTTGAAACAAACTCACTGTTATTACTATTATTGTTATATTTATTATTCTCATTTTGTACTTCGAATATTTTTGACTTTATACCGTCAGTGTTGATAACTTTCCCTGGTGAATTTTGTTTTAATTTTATCTATATTTTGAGTAAATCAGATGCAATATTGTGACAAATGCTGAGAATTTCATTCTGTATTATAAGTACTGTTTTTCGAATAAAGTAGATTATTATTATTATTTTTATTAAACTACATTTAAAACTTAATGTATATTGATTTACTGGTTGCCTTCAAAGGGAACTATTGTTCACTGAGCATTCGAAATAGCGTCACCACGCTATATCGTGAAGTGGGAGAAGATAGGATCCATGGGCTTTTAAATTCTCTCCCAGTGGCTTAATGGTATTTTGAAGTCCCTAGAATCAATTTATGCTGTGAAGAGTTCTAAACACAAGGATGAAACAATTGTCCAATAGTTACTCCTTAGTGTTATTCAGTGGTTCTTCATTTGAAGTGAATTCGGCAACAAAATTGTAATTAGGCTAAACTCTGTAAACTAACACTTAACACTGGAATAGTTGATTGATTGAAGCAGTATGTTCGGCTTTTGTTGATTTACTGGCTCTTTTTAAGAATGCTTCAGAGATTTCTGGGGATTAACGTGAAATAGTCTGAAGGATGATGACTAATAATGCAATCCAGGGAACACACAATGATTGCCTGGGGAATGTTAGTATATCCAGATGATGAGTCTCAAATGGAACGAAATTCGCATCATAAATTTCATTGCTAGTCATTAGCCACTAAATTACTTCAAGTATCAGTATCAGGTTTATTGATTAAGGAACATACTATGCGTCAGTGTGTAACTTGGTTTCATTATTAAATAAATAAAGGGAAATTCTTTTCCCTATAATTCCGTTGAAGATACACACACACACACAGTTGTCATAGTGTTTAACTCTGTGATGAGAAAATATTATTCTCAGTTAAACAATTTTTCTTTTTGATAAAGTGAAAAGTTATACCAACTGTTAAATTTTTCTTTTCTAAAGACTATATTTTACGTAAAATAATAAATTATTTAGTTAGCCTAGCAACAACAATCCCAATAAACAGTATTATAAATTACTTGTTGAAAAGGGCTTATTTTAAGCACGACACACACACACACACGTTCATACACGACTAGGATACAATTTAAGAGGAACTGTGAAAAAGGAACGCAACCTGAACAACTGTTTAATTGTATTACTAAGCTGTCTACTACAAGTGAATGTGATTGTTTGAGGCAAGTTAGTGATTTCTTTCTATATAGTTGTCAATATTTGTTTTGTTTTTTCAAGTGAATGAAACTCAAAGTGTGTGAACACAGGTTGACATCAGTTAGCGAAACAGTGGAAAACCCCGGGGAGTACTGCATGACTGTTCCGTCCTACCCTGGGACTCTTCATCAGTAGTCACCTACTGAGGTCCGAACTCAGGACCTTCTGATCACCAGTGGGGTAAACCCAGTCAACTGTGAGATAACTTACTTACCATTAGATCAGCTCCAAATAGTCGAAAAATCTACGAGCTTGTCTGGGTTTAAATCTCAGTTGGTGATGCGTACTGATGAAGAGTACTAAACTAGGACAGAACAGCTTTCCAGTACTCCCAGGTTTTCAAATGATTCTTGACTGATGTAAACTCATGAACAAACTGTAACCAACCAAATCCCAGTAAAATAAAGTATTTACCCCCAATATCATTTAATGCCTGAGTGTTTTCTAACTGGTTTCACTTGTTGAGTAAAAACCAATAAACGAAATTTCAGAATCAACCTATCTGTCCGGGCGGACTTTCCTATCTTGATTAGATGGAAGTTTTAAACAGTAAACCATTCAGCCTTATGTGAATATTGCTCATGGAGCTGGTCACTAACTGTAATCCAATAAGAAAAGATAACATTTAGATGTGACTAGGCTTTATCCGTGGACTACTGAGGTTGGGAAAAATGATATTCTCAACTTCTCATCATTTCGTCAAGGTAGCATCAGCTAGTCTATAATTCAGTCAATCACTCAATCCTTTCAGGTAGACTACCTTGGACAGTACAATTTAACAAATACAACTTTGTAAAAACTGAAACTGATTCCATCACATTTAGCCATGATTTCATTTTGTTTTTCTCGCTTTCTCTCTCTCTTTCTCCTTAGGATTCCACGAAATTAATCGATTACAATGGTTACTCGCATATGTCTGCATGGAATATGTGTGCCCCGTATGAAGTGTTGGGTGTTGGCTTAAAAACTGGTGATCCATCTCAGTCAAGTAAGTACCTTTTTCTCTTTCTAAAATACTTATAAATTATTATTATTATTATTAATGTTCCCATGGGTTCCTAGTGGAACAAAGGGCTTCAACTGCACGTCTCCACTTGCTTCTCTCTTCTGCTGTACTTTTCACCTGCATCCATGTTAGTCCATACTGTTTTAACTCCTCTTCACATGATCTCCTCCATGTCACCCTTGCACTGACGTCCCACTAGCCGCTTCCCTTTCGGGTTCCACTCGAGCAATGGCCTGACGTGCGCGCAATGTCACCCAGCGGCCTCCTCAATCAGTGAGTGTCTAATCCACCTCCACTTTCTCCTGCATATTTGTTGGTTGGCGATTGGTTCTTGTTTTGTTTGTTCCCATACAATGTACAATTTCGGTGGAATTTTCTTATTTTTTTGGCTTAACAGAAGTAATCAAGAGTTTGTCCGTGAAGTTCATCTTAGGATGATTCTTTAGGTGAATAGCAGATTCATTCTACACCGTCAATTTCTGGTACATCAGATTAGGAAAATTAGGTTGACAGTAGATGAGAATGAAAACAGTTGAGTGAGTCACTTAAAGGGAACTTAATTGCTTCCGACAATCCATTTATATATACACTAAAAACTAGAGACCATAAAATAGGGCGTTTCTAAGCCACCAGCGTAAATACGACGCTAACTGAAGTCTTCACCAAACGCACAGACAAGCAGGGTCATTGTATTGTCTGAGGTTGAAGGTTTAGCTGTCATCGTGGACAATACCTTCATATACTCCAGACTGCTGATTCAATAAACCCCTATTCGAGTATATATCAACCAGACGAACCGAAATCTTAACACAGATGCCTCGAGTACTAGCGTTGTGTATATATTAGCAGAAACTAAAAAGAACCACAAATACTCCTAGTTAATGTCTAAAAAGGCAACAGATTCAGTCCTGAAATAATAAAAACGACAAAATGTGATATTCACTCGTTGCTTTATTGCTACCAACGTAAAGTTTAAAGTGTAACCGTAAATTTCAAAGAGTTAGTTTGTATGGCTTTGATTTGCTTCAGGTTTGACAACGGAGTGATATCAGTTAAACAACCATTTAAAACCAGCTAGGGGTATTGGAAAGCTGTTTCGTCTTAGTTTCAAACTCATCGACACTATGCACCCACCGGATTTCAAATCCAGGATCTTCAAGTTACAAGGCTAGCAGCTCATGGACCACTAAGCCATCAGGGCAGAAGTCAGCGGCTATTCAGTACCCCCCCCCACCTAGTCTTCAATGGTTCTCTAACTGATGTCAGTCCAAGGGTAAATTTGTAACAGATCAAATTGACACAAACGAATTGTTGAAAATTGACCCGTTACTCACTAGTCACTGGCTACAGGATGAAGTTGACTGAAGTCCTTGTGAAAAGCTGTGACGAAGGGGGGTCAACCCGGTCAGCGGTGAAGACAAATACTTACCGCCAGTGGCATTTTCTGGTGCCAGTTGCGATAAAATCACGAATTGGTAGAAGTTAGAATGCATGACCTAACCATTGAGTCACATTCCAATGGCTGGATGGTCTACGAGGTGGTTCTGTAATCGGATGGTTCTGGGTTTGAACCCTGGAGGTTGGTGGGTACTGGCGATGAGTCCCAAACTAGGACGAAACAGCCGTCTAGCGCTCCCTGGTTTCTAATGATTCTCTAACTGATATCAATATGTGGTCAAACTTGTAAGTGGAAATTTTAACCAGCAAAATAACACTAAATAATTTAGACCCTCTCAGTGAAATATCGTCAAATGTTGGATTTTTAAGTATCTTATTAACCTGAAATAGGTTTTCTGGGTAACTAATATCGGCTGGAGAACCAATCGAAACTATAAAGTCTTCGATATTTATTTCACCCTAGTTTAAAACTCTTCAATAGAACAGAACTAAAAACACACAGGCATCAAAAGATTCCAACCAAATACCCGTATGATAAAGACAGTTTTATAAGATACAATCTTCATGGCCCTGGTGGTTATTATTCACTCTCTGCTCCCCCAAGCGATGCACATTCGTGCTAAGTGATAAATATATTTAATTTAAGGATTAGTTTTGTTTTTACGAGTTGATCAGGGATTGATATCAGTTAGAGAACCATTGAAAACCAGCACCGGAGGACTGGACAGCTGTTTCAACAGCCTAGTTTGGGAATCATCGGAAGTACGCACCCACCACAAAAGGGTTCGAGACCCGGACCTTACGGTTACAAGGCAAGCTAACTCATATGCCATTCAGCCACCACGGGGACCCGACTACTCAGTGGCCAGACAACCCACGACTTCTCGCTAGAATTGTATACGAGGTTGCCTTGTAACCGGAAGGTCCTGGCTTTTGACACCCTGGAAGTGGATGCGTACTGCCGATGATTTCCAAACTAGGCTAATGAAACAGCTATCCAGTACTCCCTGTGTCTGGTTTTCAATGGTTCTCTAACTTATATCAATCCCTGATCAACTCATACAAATATATTTAACTCTTTTTCAAACCTACTAACCTCTAGTATCATGAAGGGATTAAAAAGCAGAACTGTGTTCACTTAAAAAATCTTTGCATTCCCACTCGACATTCTATTCCAACCACACGAATAATTATTTGAAGTAGGGTTTTTAGTAAATAGTTTGACAGATAAATTCTCTCATATAGTGGATAAATCACCCTAATCCTTCTCCAACCCCCACCACCCCAATGCACCATGGATATTTTGATCGTTCCAGTATAAACAATTACTATTCCCACTACTATTCCTTTCTAATGGATAAAAGTAACATTGATAAGAATACAAAAGTTTCGACAAAACAAAAAAACCAAACAAACAATTTCTACTTTTAATGAATCTCTTAATTGGGTTATTAATTTGATTGAATGAATTATAAATGTATATGCACACACACACACACACGAACACAAACTGGCTAAGCAATGAAACCACGTACACATATTTCAGTTTGGATTGTCATTTTATTCATTAGAGAGAGAGAGAGAGTGTTAAAGACAGTTCGTTTAACAGTAGTCATATATACAGAATGCACCTGTTTATTCATTTTTATTTATTTATCGGATAACCATACATAAATGAGGGGAAGCGCGTACGCACACACACTACGCACATCACACAAAGATCTAGTGCGTAACCGTTTTTCTGTTTTAATGATATGCACATAAACGATCTAAGGGAACAAAGTGTGTGTTTTACAGGTATTTCATATAATTTGATTGGTTCGCGTATAGAATAGGATCACATGAAATGATGATTTCTTTTCCTTTTTTATATGTGAATTAAGCTTTACAAATATATGGTATATATATTAATAATATTGATAATTTTTAGCAGAGAGTAAATTCACTACTTACTGCTTACGCCTTAATTGCAAATCCAGAAATACCTTAGAATAAATGTAGAACAACACAACTTGTCTTAATAGGGGTTCTTTAAAGAGAATGATTGACTTAGAATAAAGTGATATAGATTATTATTATTGTTATTTGATCTGCTCTTCTTAAGATTATTTATGTTGGTCTTCGATTGGCATTCTGACATTGATGTATAGCTTGATAATTTAATGGCGTGAAAGGGGAAATCAGTTCAGTCTGTTGGATATTATGTTTATTGCTTTCTGTCTTCTGTGTTAGGTGGTTGTATGGTAAGGCGAGTAATATTGAGGTTAGGCGTTGTGTGTTAGGTAGGTAGGTAGGTAGGAAAAGTGAAATGCCTAGCCATCGCCTTCCTCGATGAGCAATTGTAGTAGTGATCAAACCAAAATATGGTTTCATAAGTCAATGAAATCTACAACAGTTAGATGAAGTCGGCCACGTAGGGAAGTGTGCACTGCGTGTCCAATAAAAGCTGGAGATAACTGGTGATATGACTCAAAGTGATCATTTCCAATGACTGGGCAGATGCATTCACTACCATATCCATTCAACCATTCTTGTTTCTCCATGTTACTATTCTCTATGTCTCTGCTTACTAATTAATTAACTAACTAACTAACTAACTAACTAACTAACTAACTAACTAACTAACTAACTAACTAACTAACTAACTAACTAACTAACTAACTAACTAACTAACTAACTAACTAACTAACTAACTAACTAACTAACTAACTAACTAACTAACTAACTAACTAACTAACTAACTAACTAACTAACTAACTAACTAACTAACTAACTAACTAACTAACTAACTAACTAACTAACTAACTAACTAACTAACTAACTAACTAACTAACTAACTAACTAACTAACTAACTAACTAACTAACTAACTAACTAACTAACTAACTAACTAACTAACTAACTAACTAACTAACTAACTAACTAACTAACTAACTAACTAACTAACTAACTAACTAACTAACTAACTAACTAACTAACTAACTAACTAACTAACTAACTAACTAACTAACTAACTAACTAACTAACTAACTAACTAACTAACTAACTAACTAACTAACTAACTAACTAACTAACTAACTAACTAACTAACTAACTAACTAACTAACTAACTAACTAACTAACTAACTAACTAACTAACTAACTAACTAACTAACTAACTAACTAACTAACTAACTAACTAACTAACTAACTAACTAACTAACTAACTAACTAACTAACTAACTAACTAACTAACTAACTAACTAACTAACTAACTAACTAACTAACTAACTAACTAACTAACTAACTAACTAACTAACTAACTAACTAACTAACTAACTAACTAACTAACTAACTAACTAACTAACTAACTAACTAACTAACTAACTAACTAACTAACTAACTAACTAACTAACTAACTAACTAACTAACTAACTAACTAACTAACTAACTAACTAACTAACTAACTAACTAACTAACTAACTAACTAACTAACTAACTAACTAACTAACTAACTAACTAACTAACTAACTAACTAACTAACTAACTAACTAACTAACTAACTAACTAACTAACTAACTAACTAACTAACTAACTAACTAACTAACTAACTAACTAACTAACTAACTAACTAACTAACTAACTAACTAACTAACTAACTAACTAACTAACTAACTAACTAACTAACTAACTAACTAACTAACTAACTAACTAACTAACTAACTAACTAACTAACTAACTAACTAACTAACTAAATAACTGATTGACTGGCTGACTCACTCCACTTTTGTGATGGATAGGTTTCTTACTTCTGAAAGTTTTCTATCTTGCGGGGAAGACACCTTCAGTTTCGTGTATACATCTAACTTCTGTGATACATACCATTTCACTATCTAATTTGATTCATTTAATTCTACACCATACTGTCTCAGTCGAGAAGTGAGAGAAATAGATATCTTTCCATCTACCACAATTCATCAACGTTTGTGTAACTCCCCCTCCTACATACGTATACACTCTAGAACCGACAACTGTAATACTTTCGCTTAGAAATTTAGCGGTCGTGAAAAAATTATTTTCATGATGTGTCTGCATTTACTTGTTATTTAGTTGACCAATTCCAAAACTTCATTAGAACAGCTATGAAACAATTCCAATAGCGATGTTTCATTAATACTATACAACTGGTAATCGATTGGAGGGTTTCATCATGAGCTGACATTAGTTAGGGAATCATTAGAAAACCAGCTGGGAGTACTGGACAGCCAGCTGTTTCGTCACCCTAGTTTTAGACTGGTTCAGTAGTACGCACTCACCGCCAGGGTTCGTACCTAGGGCCTTCTGGTTACAAGGCTAGTGAACTCGTAGACCATTAATCAATCGACTAGGACCCGATCCAATGTCCTATGAACTCTAACTTCTGTCAATTCACGCACGACATAGCGCAACCACTTCGTAATTTCTTCTTTGATGAGTTACTGCCTCACCTTCAACCAGTTGTAGCTTACTTGTCACGGCCTCACACTAGAGAATCCCATCTCATAATGAAATCCTCCAAACAATCAAAAACAAAATCCCTAAAAGAAACCAATACTTGACAACTGTGATAATCCTTTCAGTTTTAAAATGAGGTCGCAAATAATTAGAGAGATGTGTATATTCATTATTAAGCATAAACATTTTTCAACAACTACAGAATGATTTGTTTGATCTAACAGTTGTTCCCCCTTTTGAACTATCTTCACTTTTTTAAGCAAAATCATGACATATAGGATAAGGCACTACAGTTTGTTCTGTTCACGCATAACACCATGAAAAAAGATACCTGAGAAAAAATGTAGGATAAAGATGGGTGGGTGGGGTTGAATTTAAGACAATTACTTTCCTAATAAGAATTTATTTAGCCTAATTAATACAATACACGTATATTGTCTATTTAAGTATAACCAAGGAAATGAATGATATGATTGACACATTCACTATCAGCGGTTCGAATACATGTGTGTGTGTGTGTGAATAGTTTACCACGTGTAGTTATTTAAGAGCATGTGCATGTATGTATGTATGAATGCTGGCATATAGACAAGGTGTGAAGAAAAAGCCCAAATCAAGGTAATAAGCGATACAAAAAGATGGACGGAAAGTATGCTAAAACAATTTAATATCTCTGTTGATGTGAATCATTACACTGACTAACTAATAAGCAGCACGATAAACTAATTAGTAATTTCCTTGTATTCATCTATGGTTGTTTTTTGCTAATTGACGTTGTGGAACAAACAATCTAAGCCTCTCTAAGTAAACTTATTATTATCAATAACAGTAAATGCATTGGACCTTTTTCAATATGAAGAAATAATAATAATGACAGAACTTTGTGAAAGTTGATTTTCTGTCTTGTGCTTTCACCTATTTACCTGCAAAGCGGAATCGACTTCGTAAAGCTTAACACATATTTTAGTAACTATTGCAGCTTAGGTCTCCTTTTCACCTTCAGCTACCTTTCTGAAATGTCAAGACTACTTTGTACAATTTATCAGATTGCTGTCATGAACTAACATTGGTTAGAGAGACCACTAGGTGCGGAGGGGGGGTGACATTGGACAACTTTTTGCCCTATTTTGGGACTCTTCATCGGTACGCACCCAAGCCCTCCATCCGGGACTTCTAGGTTATGAGGTCAAGCTCACCAACACTATTCTTCTACTTCAGCTGGAAACCAGTTACCCCGGAATTCTAACTTGTGATATATTTCTGCCTTTATCAATCAATGGCTTAGACGAGCATCGACTTCGCCTTGACACGGTCGACCCCATTAGTGGACCCCACTTCCCATTTCTTCGCATTTTCCAATACTGTAAATCCTCTTAAAGATCGAAGAACAATTTGTGCGTCAGTGGCTCAGTGGTAGACTTCCCGAACGATTCAGCCATTAACTTTGGCTACTTTACTAGGTGGTATTAACCTGGGAAAAAAAGACGGCTGGGTGTGAAACCAGTAACATCACCCCCACAAAAGCACAGCCACCAGCACCACAACTGAAGCCCTATGTTCCACTCACAAATTGTAAGTAGGAGAAGAGAGGAACGCAGAGCGATTTCATAAGAAATTAGTCTTAGAATTACAATTTTTAGATTGGGCACTAAGAATTTGTTCAACATTGATTTCTACAGAATTATGATTTCCTTGCCGAATTACCAAACAGCATAACATTCAGAGTGTTTAAATTATAACATAACTAAAAAATTATGCCTGTTTCTCTGTTTCTTCATCTTCTTCATTTTAGTCGCGGAAAATCGAACTTCTTCGTTACGTTGTACTGAAAGTGTTGTAATCCCCCTGGCTGGACATTGATGCGTTTTTCATGACTGGTTGTCAGCGTAAAACAGAACTACATTTAAAAGAAAATTTCGGCGCGAAAATTTGAAGCGCAACTTACAAATTCTGAAAATAATGATTATTATTATTCACTTTTGCTATCTGGAAATAACTGCACATATTATCTGACCCTTGTTTTTATTATTAAAAAAAATTTATATTTTATTTAATATCTGCCTTCCTCTTTTGTACAGAATTTCATTCCGAATGACCATTTTTCAAACGAATAACAATAACGCAATTTTATATTATTCATAAAATCAATAATACTAATTAATATGATGCAACTAATATATATATTTATATTTATAAATACTAATTTTCTCTTTCATCCCACCCATTTTTGGCCAGTTGACAAAATGATTTGCAAAACAAAGTCTCGAAAAGTTCAATTTTCTGGGAATTTCGTCGTCTTTGGAGTTCACCATCAGTGCTAATGGATTATAACTAGAGGGAGAGGGGGGAGGGGTAAAGATTGATAAGTGTTGAAAAGGGTTGCGTAATATGTAATAGGGTGTTAATGGAGACGTGTGCGTAAAAAATAAACTATGTAATAGGTAGAAAAAGTAAACAAAGGGTTGGTTAAGAAGAAGATGTTACTAAGATGCCATAAAAAAGTTCAAAAAAAAAAGAAAGAAAACAAAATATTATTATTAAATTCGTAAAACTTGGAATTATACCCAAGGTAGACAGAGGGGGTAGAGAAGTTTCTTCTGTGTGCATCAATCAGGGTTTTCTATCCGAATCGCTAAGGCCTCGGTAATGTAAAGTATACGAAAGCTTACCTAAGGTTTTCGGGAGGCTCGTTTTGACTTTGTAGATGACTTTTGGATGAATCCTCCTTGCATAATAAGTGACCAATGTTGACTATAATGTTCACTTATTGCACTTTTTATTGATCCAATATAACTTTTTCGTGGCCAGCAGGATAATGTTCTCTGACTCTTTTTAATAAAACATGCATCGGACGACCTATATTTCTCGCTCCACGTGGGCAAGTGAAGTGGACAGATACACAAAGAAGTTGTCGAATGAAATAGTTTATCTTTGGAGTTGCGGATGAACAGTGTACCGCTTAAGAATATCAGTCGTAATGCAGCGGCAGGGAATGTTCTTTTCAGGGTGTTAGATATTCTTCTCTTTAAGATGCCGGCCAGAAGGTCACATTTGAACACCACATTCATGTATAGCATCTTCTTAGGCACAGAGATGGGTTGTTCTTTGTTGGTTTTAGGCTTTATGTGTTTATCGATAAAGCATGGTGGATAGCCATTCTCAAGTAGTGTCTTCCTCAAAAGATTGGTCTCCTCTTCTACTGACTCGAGACTGAATATTCTGAGGATTCCATTAGCGAGAGATATTATAAGGTTCCGCTTGCGATTGATGGGTACTCAACTGTAAAAGATTGTCAGCTGGCAGTTCTACATGGGCATCTTTAAGATCCCACCAGTCTTCTTTGTTAGTCGGACGTTCAGAAACCAAATTTTCTCTCCGGTTTCTGCTTCAGTTGTACATATGATGGCTGGGTAAGAGCTATTAAAAACTTGAAAAACATTATTCGGGTCACATTTGTTATCACAGTTGATCAAAATGTGTCATCAACGTACCTTTTGTACAAAGAGTTGTTGGTTTCAACGGACCATTTTCCAAAATTGCCATGAAAATATCTGCAAATAACGGGCCTAAAGGTGAACCCATAGCTACACCATCTTGCTGTCTATAAATGGTACCATTGAATGTGAATTGAACGTCCAAAGTGCATCTAAGTAGAAGTTCTTTTAACTTGGGTGTGGGTATTTCAATATTCATGTCGTTGTTTTCCAAGTACTTGCATAAGAAACAAATCACCTCCGTAATCCGAACACAATTTTTGAAGAGAGAATGGATATCGAGTGATATCACGCACCTGTCGCCCACTTTCACATCTTTGATACGAATTCAAACGTGTCTCGAAGACAATATTTTGAAATTTGTTCTCTAACAGGCTGTAGGAATTCTACCAGCCATTTTGAAGTTAGATGGTATGCAGATCTGGCTATGCCGGAATACAAAATCATGATGTCTTTGAAATAAGAAGTAACTTCGGTTTCCATTATAGGCAACTGGGAGATGGTGAAGTGGGGGGTGGGGGATTGAGGAGAGTGGGTTAGAACTCGATTAAAGCAGTATGACATGAATCGGTCACTGTCTGAGTTGCTGTTCACATCAGCTTGTCATTGTTGTGTTTTATATTTCTCTTGTAACGAGTGGATTGATTTTCCAGGTAAGGGTCGGTAACTCAACGCCTAACCCTCCCTCTTTTGATATTTAAGTGTTGGTTTGTGAGGATTTGATTGATTACAGGATTTCCATTATGAGCTGACATTAGTTAGAGAAGCATTGGAAAACCAGCTGGGAGTACTGGACATCTGTTTCTCCCGTCCTAGTTTGGGATTCTTCAGCAGTACGCACACACCGCCAGGGTTCGAACCCAGTGCCTTCTGGTTACGAGGCCGGCGAGCTCGTATACCATTCATAGCCACTGGGACCCGATCCGATTGCCCATGAATTCTAACTTCTGACAATTCAGGACATAGCGCGACCCCTAGCGACTTGCCGTATTTAGCTAGGTAGTTACTCGGGGTTCTAGTGAGAAGTCGTGACCAGTAGGGTGCAGCAGGTCGGGTGTGAGGACAAGTATTCGCCGAAGACATTAGCTAGCGGTCACGCTATGTCGTGAATTGGCAGAAGTTGGAATTCACGGGCAGGCCATTGGACCGGGTACCAGTAGCTTAGTGGTCTACGAGCTGGCCTGGTAACCAGAAGGCCGTGGGTTAGAACCCTGGCGGTGGGTGCGTCCCAAACTAGGACGGGGGAAACAGCTGTTCATTACTCCAATGGTTCTCTAACTAATTTCAGCTCATGATTAAATCCTGTAACCTCCCTCTTTTCTTGAGCTTGCAACCGACTAGAAAACTAACGACTTAGTAAACTACGTGATATTAAACTTAATAACTAGTGTTCACAATTTATCTTTCGAACATTTAACAACAAAGTGTGTAAGGGAATGTTTTGCCATGTAGCCCTACAATTGTATAATACTGCTTACTTTTTAAAGTCCTACAGATGTTCAGGGTGACATGATTTGAGACGTTGTGGATATTTACATTTTATCATAACCAATAGTTTTTCTGGTAAAACAACCAGGCAGTAAATGCACGCGGTAGACCGCGATCAGATCAAGAAAAGCCAAGCGTTCTACTACTGTGCTTTTAGCCATTGTCTGGCTTGCATTAGTCTAGAGATCAATTTCCTTCCTCCTACACCCTAGAAGCCTACTATGAAGCAATAGGGTTTACTGTGTAGGTCATTAATGTCCATATATGGGTTCAGGATAGTTAGAGATTTCAAGATAATAGCCAGTGTATAACACAATTTACCCTACAAATTGATTAAATTAATGTGCAGTGTTTACTGATTTTGCGACATCATACCCCTAATTCCTATCTGAAATGGGGTGAGAAAGAATGCCAACTCAACATCGAACACATACACACATCCAGTGTATTAGATGGTAGTAGGCAATCGGTAAGAAGCCTTGGACCTAGGTTTTGTGTCAGTTGGTACTCATCAGCCTGGCGTATCTTCAAGCTTGAGGGAACTCATGTCCCTTCTGAGATTCGAGCTATAGTCACCCAGTAAGCTGTGAAGTCATAGACATGACCACTGAGTTATTCGGGCTCGAGACCAACCTCCTGTAGGACTGCACGGGATACTTTGATTGGATATTAGTTAGTAACTAAGTATTATGCATTTGGGCCTTTTTTTCGACATGAGTTCCTTCGAGTTTGCAAATACACCTTGTGAGCTGGTGAGTTATAACTACCACAATATCTAGGTGTCAAGGCTTTCTGTGACCTATCGCCTCCAACCATCTAATATCAACAATTCACAGTGCAACATGATGGCGAGCCATCTAGAATTCTGGACACCTTGCAAACTTGACTGATCGAATTCAGTCTGCACCAATGATAACACTAGACACATTAAACTACTTACTAACTAGTACCCAATCAAAAGTAATTCCGATGTAGATTTCATCAGGAACCGAAGCCAGATAGTGAGTCAGTGAAAACCGGACAACATTCTCCAGCTGTTTCGTCCCGGTTTGGGAATTTTTATCAGTATCTCATCGCGCGCGCGCGCGCGCACGATAAACCGTTGCTCATACGGAACCTGAATGAGAAATAACGAGTGCAGCGGCCGGGAGTAATATGGATGAGGTCGTGTGAGAAGGAAATGGCAACATATGAGCAGTAGTAGTGTGATGAGAGCTGGCTGCTAGCCAAATTGGTGGACAATAATTTACGTCAATATTTACGTCCCTAATATTGGTTGAGAGAAACATAAGAACAAAGACTGATTCAACAACTAACCACAGCAGACTTTGCGTAGGCGGATACAGTTAGCACATAGATGATCTGACATTGAAGAAACAGTCACAAAGAGATGAAAGATGAACTTTCAGTGAGAAACAATCAATCATAAGACTGTGTTTTTCTGCTAACAATAATCTATAATAATGTACATGAAATTATATAAATATGTGTTGATTTCCTTAATAAATGATCTATTACCTGGCCCGTGTCTCCTGTTGTTACAGTAGGACCAGGTGAAAAGAACTAGGGGAACAGGACAAAGTGGAAATACGGTAATGAAGTCGTATTTTGCATTTGGAACTCCAGGGAATAGTAATTTTCTCCAGTTGGGATACAATAATTGCTGGATTCATGCCTCAGTGAGAACACGACTACTTACGAACGGACGCAGGTAAAACCCACAGAAGCGAGGAGACTGTTTCATCAGCATAAAAAAGAGTGAATTTTTAATCATTCTAATCTTCAATATGAAATTACCTACTGCAGTTCAGTTATAATCGACGTAAATATACTGTCCACGTTTAGTACTGCTTTATCCGCCAAAAAATACTGTCTTCCGGTATATCACTTAAGATCATTAGAATGTAGTTCTTCTGGAATATGATTTTCTTCATTGGATAACGTGTACACAGTAATAATTCAAATAGGAGACCTTATTCTTCCCTCACTTTACTGTTGTAAACATTCTTGCGATCAGATCAGTCGGTTCAGCTTGTAATCACACTTCCTAATCTTTGAAATTTAGGCCAACCAACATATTATTATAGTATTATGGACAGTTGTAAGAAAATTATCACAATAAAACTCATTAGATCATGGAAGAAAGTTTGCAAGAAGTCTCATTTCCCATCTTTGGAACCCGACACCACGTATACGCGAAGTCGAAA